TGTTTTCGACGAGCTGAAATTAACGGGACTTGAAGGGAGGCTCAGCGGTAGTTTGCCAGACGGGACGCAAGGCGAAGAAGACAGCGAAACAGTCTCCGCTTCGGCCGACGTCAGCATCGCGTCCGGAGAGGCGCAGATGGCGTTGTTTCTGAATTTTGGGCAAACTGAAAATACTCAACAATTAAACACAGCAAGCTGCTGAACAGGGTACAACGTTGAGTTTATGCTGTTTTCGTCCCCATGCTCACCAGTGGTCATGAACTGTGAGCCATGACTAAAACGTTTCGATCCAGGGTACAAACGGCTGACATGAATTGCTGCGCTTAAGCGATTTGGCATGATTCGAAGTACAGTACAGATATCCAACAGAGCCTTGGTCTACAGCGCATCCTCACATATGTGAGCTGAATGTGTAGAAACGACGAAATTACCTAAAGTTGTTCTATCTCAAAATTTGTCCCGGACAGAATAAAACGAAGAAGCGATTGCTGATGAAACGTGAAGAGCATTTATCTTATTTGTCTGAGGCACACGCCACACCTTTCAGCTAATAAGTGTATTCTTCCATTTTATCCTGTACCTGGACTTCTCGAAACCGCCGCAATTTGCCCTGGTACTTTAAGTTGATAGTATGCAATAGAAGCTCCAGATTTGAACTTCTCGACAAAATTTTTGCACAACGCATCTTAACGTTAGCCTACGCATTGGCCTCGGTATTTTGCGTAACAACAACCATTTGCTACATCCAGTTCTGTCGATTTTTATTTCTTTATATTCCGGTACAAGATCAAAAATAAAGAATATCTTCTGTCGAATAGAACTGAAACATAATGCAGTTATTCCCCCCTTGGCTCGCATCATAAAAGATCTAAGGTCGCATGCTGACAAATGGTATAAACAGCTACTTAATTTACCTACCTATTAACATGCACTTACGCGCTAGTTCTTGCTGTTGCTTTCTGATACTGAAAGATATGGTCATGTTCGGTATATTCAAAAAGTAGTGAATAGTAAAATATATTGATTCTTGAATGCAAGAAAAGTTTTGCCATTGCACATTGTAGGTTGTAGGCCAACCGGTGCATCAACTCTTGGAAACTGGAAAAATGGAAAATAACGCAAGAGGTCAGCAGTACCTCACCTGCAGAGTTGAGAAAGCGACTTACTTATGACAGTGTCGATCATCATCATCATCATAGAGCAAGCGCCAGGTCAATGACACATGAAGTAAAAAGATCGGACAGTCGCTAAACATCACTAACAAGTATCATAACGGTATCATCAATCACGCGAGTTAACCCGATGAACTCGATGAACCGCATGAAAGCAACACCGCATGTAACTTATTACAATTCTGAAGTGGGTCCGAATTCATGGCTAATTCAACAGTTTTGAACATTCCGAATTACACCATCACTTTCCACTCATAAATCACGTACCATATGTAACAAATTACTATTTTTTAAATGTTAAATTTTCATAGGAATTTATACCTGTGCAACAAGCATCAATAAAAAATGTTCGACTGCGTATACGTCAGTTTCAAACAATTTACAGCCATGGTACTCTACCTTAAAAGCTAATTCCTTCCATAAAAAGCTACCTTACCTTGGTCGATGTCGACCGTGGCATGAGCGGCTGGACGCAGGTAAGAATTGTGAAGATTAAACAGCTCTTGATGACTGACCATCAACGGCGGCGGGGCGGATATTCTTCCGAGTTGCTCCTCGACGGACGCACGAGCCTCCCTGACGCTGGAATGCAATACATAAAACAATTCTTCGGCCCTTGGACACCGAAATATGAAAACGCCGGGACCGGATTCGCACCGTCTACCGCTTTCGAAACTAAAAAAGATAGGTCAAACGATCACCGTCGAGAAGAAGGTCGCTCAATGTAAGAATGACCTCAAATTGCCACCTCACAAGTTGAATAGTTTGTTAGTGATTCTGGAGTCACACCGGCACTGATTCAAATTGCGTCAG